CACCCCCAGGAGCGTTTGGTTCTAAGTTCTAAGGCTTTACGTTGCCATGCAGCTTTTCTGGCATCGGCTGTGGGGAACGGCCCTAAACCCTAAACGCCTAAACCCCTAAACCCTAAACCCCCAAGCCCTTACACCCCTAAACCCCTAAACCCCTACACCCCTAAGCCCCTAAACCCCTAAACCCCTACACCCCTAAACCCTAAAAAGCTTTCCGTGAAGGGCCTGGGCCTTCCGGTGAGCCTTTAGGGGTCTCGGGGCCCAGGGTGGGCAGCCTCTAGGGTTTTAGGGCTCAGTTTAGGGTTGTAGAGTTTTAGGGTTAGGGATTTAGTTTTTGGGGTTTAGGATTTTGGATAGGGTTTAGGGTTTAAGGTTTAGGCCCGGCTGCGGTTTAGGTTTAGGGTTTAGGGCCGTTTAGGATTTAGGGTTTAAGGATTAGGGCTTAGGGCCAGCCCACAGAGCCCATGCACATTGCGCATGGAGCCGGGAGCAACTCAGATGTTCAGCTGCTGTAGGTACTGCTCAGTCAAGGAGCTGAGCTGTGCCAGCCGGACACCTCGAGACTCTGCATCTTTCAGAACTGACTTTGCCACCCTCAGCCTGTGCCTGCTCGTCCCCTTCAGCCGAATACGGACATCATCCACCGTCCAGGCTGCCGTGAGACGAGCCGGAAACAAAGCACCCAGGAATGTTTCTATGAACACCTTGTTGGGAATGACGCCGTTGTCTGCCATACTGGACAGGATGCCTTCAAGCTCATCCAGCAGAGCCTGTCGGTGAGCTCCTGCTACGTTGGCGAAAGTGACAACGCTCGGTTGCAAGCCTTTGCTGAGCATGTCCTCCAACAAATACAGACCGTGCCAGTTTGTGACATCCATTACTCCTCCGCGATCAATGCATGCAAAAGCTCCGACGATTCCAACCACCACAAGGCAGCTATGTAACACATGGCTGCCTTGTGGCGATTGGAATGGATCGCGGAGGAGTAATGGATGTCACAAACTGGCACGGTCTCATTTACCATAAACAAAAACAGATGCAGCTCCTTTGATGTCACCCATCTCGCTGGCTGCATCAATCCGAGCTGTGGCAAGAAACTTGTTGACCCATCCATTAGCACGAACCTCCTGCCAGATTGAATCGACTGCAGTGCTGTCCTGCAACTTGCCGAAGATTTTCATGCCGTGAAGCAGAATGACTACGGTCTTGGAATGTAGCGTTTCTTGGGAGAGTTTCTGGCGGTTTTCTTGTAAGGGTTTCATACGGTTCAGGGTTTAGGGTTTAGGGCTTAAGGTTCAGGGTTTAGGGCTTTGGGTTTAGCGTGTTGGGTTTAGGGTATGGGTCCCGGAAGGATCCCTTTACGGGTTCCTATAAGGGTCCCCATGGCAGCCCCTTTCTGGATCCCTTTGCAGGTTTAGGGCTGTGGGGTTTAGGGATTGAGTGTTAAGGGTTTCAGGGTTTCATTAGTAGGCTTTCTGTGAGCTGAAGAACAAGTTGCATTGAGCTTGAGCACTGCTACAAACTTGAAACATAAGGCTGCGGGTGTAAGATTCCGGACTAGCGCGTTCAGGGTTCAGAACTTAAGACGGATTGCGAATTGTCACTTCGGAGGTCAGGCTCGTTTACCGGGTTTAGAGTTCAGGGTTTAGGGGTTTAGGGGTTTGGGGTTTAGGGTTTAGGGGTTTAAGCTTAAGTTCAGGGGTTTAGGGGTTCGTGTACCGGTTTTTATGGGCTGAGTTTGACAAGCAGAAGCCAGCATGCAACGCCAAGGTGAATCCCACACCCCGAGTTCCCCCTACGAGTTTCCGATGTCCATCGCCACTTGGAGGCTCAGGGGACTTAGTAAGTCGGTTATAAGTAGGGTTATAAGCCAAATAACTCCATTTAGGGTACTTATAAACTCTACACATAACCTACTTCCTAAGTCCCCTGGACCTCCAAGTAACCCAGCTTACATAAACCCAAACCTTTAACCCTTACACCCTGAACCCCGGAGAACTCGAACCCACGCCCTGAACCCCAAACCCCTAAACCCCTATTATCAGCCCCAAACCCCAAACCATAAACCCCAAACCCCAAACCCTAAACCCCTAAAGCCCCCAATCCTGAAGGAACCCTAAAGGAGAAAAGGACGCCACAGCACCGCGGATCCTAATCCTGATCTGGCCCAGCGGCAGTCCGGATCGCTTGCTCGCTTGGAACATTGCCCTTCCTCGGGTTAGAGTTCAGAGTTTAGGGTTTAGGGTTTAGAGTTTAGGGTTTAAGGTTCAGGGTTTAGGATTTAGGGTTTAGGGTTTAGGATTTAGGGTTTCGGATTTAGGCTTAGGGTTTAGAGTTTTGGGTTTAGGGTTCAGGGTTTAGGATTTAGGGTTCAGGGTTTAATAGGGTTTCGGGTGTTTCTGTTGGTTCCTTTGCCGATTTTCCATGGGGTGTGTAGGGTGTAGGGTTTGAATTTTCGAGTGTGGGCTGTAGGGTATACCTGTATCCCCAAACCCTACAAAATAGTAGGTTGTGACCCCTTAATTTTCATGTCTAACCCTAAAACAGTAGGTGTTTGGATCCCCAGGTAAGGCCTAGGGATGCAAGGGTTTAGCGTTTTTTGGGGTGTAGGGGCCACGAAGAAGCAGAACGAGGCAAATATGATTGAAAAACCATGATGATGGCACTGATGGAATCTAAGCACAGCCACCCTAAACCCCTAAACCCCGAAACCGTAAACTCGAAACCCCTAAACTAAAGGAAACTACAGGT